ACATAAGTTAAATGATGCAAGACAAAAAGAAAAATAAGGAATACTGGCATACTAATTTAGTGATTTGAATATGAATTTATCAAAAAAATACTTATGTAAGATGACGCTCAATGATGCTTAAATATTGTTTTACATGTTCATTTTGAGAAAAATCGACTTAATTATTGTCGTTCAAATTCTTTGTTTGATAACATTATGTAAAAATCAAATTAATTATCATCTGCAAGGTCTTTCTCACAGATCCATAGCAAAAAAAGTAATTTTATCGTGTGCGTGTTTTTCTTTCTGTTTTTTTGGTTCTTTTCTTGCCATTTTTTTATTAGTCTATAATTAAAGTAAATCGTATGCAATCCGAAAGAAAAGAAAATTTTCTATCGAAGAGTAAAGAAAAAAAGTTTCTTCATAGAACATTTTCATCGATGAAATCTTTAGTTCGACTTATTATGAGATTAGTTATACATCGTATATTAAAAAAAGAGATAAAGAACAAAATACATAACAATACAGATTCATTATGTAAATTACTGTTCTTTTATTTTACAGCATGAGTCTTTTTTATTTTTTATACAAACAATTTCTAAAGTAAAAAACAATCCCAAAATATTTTTTTGTAAAATTTATAAATAGGCTTTCACATTTTAAACAATGGTTCATTGAGAATTCATCATTTACAAGTTCAAGATACAGGTTATTATATATGTTGGGCAGAAAATCTTGTTCAACGTACTCATGCACAAATTCGATTAGAAGTTCAAGGTATTCTATTTTATGTTATTTTATGATTTAAGTATTTTAGAATTATGTAATATTTTTAGTTCCACCATCGATTAATCAAATTGAAAGATATTATACTGGTATTGTTGGTCAATCAGTGAAATTGTCATGTCAAGCTAATGGAATTCCTATACCAACTATAACTTGGCGTGGCATATATAATATATCAGGAACAGCCATTATTGATTCATTTGGGAATTTAAACATAAATAAACTTGAGTAAGTCAATAATTAACATAAATAAAAGGAAAAAAAATTATACTGTCTTGTATGTAAAAGAAAACATCATGCTGGGGAAATGATGTGTTATGCAAAAAATACAATTGGTCAAACATCAAAACAATTTACTTTGATTGTTCTTGATTCTCAAACAACAACAACAACAACAATAGCAACAATTGTATATGAAAATATTCCAAGTAAATAAATTTCTTTTCTTTGTTTTTGACTGAAAAGTTTCAAGTTATTTATTATGTAATTATACAAATTTGTTTTGTTTTAGGGCAAATACCTTTTCTAATAATATCACCAAATAATTTAATTGTTGATTATGGTGATGAATTAGAATTAAGCTGTCAAACAAATGCACTTAATCCATTTGACATTCAATGGTTACATAATGGTCATATCGTAAATAATAATAGATATTTCACATATCTTCATGATCGAAATATTCTTCGAATAAATAAAGCTATTGATAAACACACAGGAATTTATCAATGTTTTTCAAATCATTCATTCAATCAACAATTTATTATGTCCATGCCTGTAACAGTTACTGTTCGTCGTAAGCTTTCTTTTGTTTTAAAGATATATGAGATTTTAAATTTATTTTTTTTGTTTAGCTCATCCGAACAGTCAAGATCGTGCGGTAATATCTGGCCATCGATTAACACTTTCATGTGAAATTCAAATAGGTGAAAATGAAAATTTTCTTGGTACAATCGAATGGTTTCATAATGGATCACCATTAAAATTAAATTCATTCAAACGAAATAAAATGGATTATCGTAATGGCACATTAATTATAGATCAAACATCAGTAAAAATATGCTCTATAAGAGTTTTTTGTTCATAATTGCATTATTTCTTGTTTATATATCTATATATAGGGTTCGGATTCCGGTGTTTATAAATGTGTATTTCGAAATGATAATGGTACTCGTTCAGAATCCTATCATTCAGTTAATATTCTAAGTAAGACATGTGCACGCGTTACATTTATTTTTCTTTTTCCTTTTGTCTCTTTTCTTCTTATGACCTCTTACATTGTGTTTTCTGTTATTTTTTCTTTTTTTCTTGTCGAATGTCTTCGTCATTTCCGATTTATGCATGTGTGTTTTATTTGCTTATGTTTAGCTCAACCTACGTTTACAATTAAATTGCCTCGATCGACACAACGACCTGTCAATGGTTCAATGCTTATGCTCAATTGTCTTGCCGACGCATGGCCTGAACCAACATTAAAATGGACAAAAAATGGAACTAGTCTAACAGGACTTGATGATGTTCGAATACAAATATTACCTAATAATTCATTGAAGTAAAAATGAAAACATATGAAAATGATTTGATTTTATCAATTTCTGTTTTTTATTTTTTTATTAGAATTTATCCCGTTCAAATATCTGATACTGGACGTTATGCATGTTCAGCTGAGAATGCACTTGGTGTTGCAACAACTACATGTGATGTTATTGTTTATGAAGGTAAATGAAACTTTGATTTATTTATTTATTTATTTTTGTCTATAATTTGATTTATTTTTTCTTTTACATAATATATGATAGCAAAAGAAATTTTACAAATAAATTCATATTTCTACGTAATTTATGTCATATATATCTTGAGAAAATTTTCATTTATGCAAAAATAATGAATAAATTATATTAGAATGATTATTATCAGTATGATTAATAAGAAAAAAAAATTTTAATCACAAAAAGAACAATGGTGATTATTATATTCGGCTTTATTTTATATGAGATTAAATCTTAATTCATCAAATTCATCGAGTATTCATTATTTCATGTTCAAATAAGTGTTTCTATATAAAAGAAATATAAAATAATTCAAATTTCTTGTAAGAGCTCACACAATAATAACAACGTTGCATGTCGACGTAGGAGTATACTTGATTTGAATAAGTACCTAAACTTCATTTTTATTCGTGAAGAGACATGTCTAAAGAAATAGAAGAACTAACGTTTTAGCAAAGAGTACATTATGAATATTTCTATATTTGACTTGTTTGATTATTTTTTTACAACTATCTATATATTCACATGCTATATTTATATAAATATATATATATATATGTGTGTGTGTGTGTCAGTATTTCTTTCATATTTTAGCTGTCAAACATTTGGGAAATGATTTCATTGTAAGATAGTGAAAAGCAATGAGAAAGAGAATAAGAGGTCCTTCATCGTCACATTATCGAAATGAATAGTTGAAGAGGAATATGGTCAAAAGAAAAGAATAACGATCGAGAAAATTCTACTACTTGGCCTGTAAGACGAGCAAAAAAACGATGCTATTCGTTCTCAGAAGTAAATCAATCTGGAATAAGAACATCGTCATTCCATTCAATATTAGACAAAAAAAAAAAGATGAAGAAAAGAGCTTGAACGAGATATGATCTGGCATGATAAAAGAAAGGAAAGAAGAAGAAAAAAACTGATTTAGCTCCAGGAATAAATCTGCAGTCGAAAGAAGCGAGAAAAAATATAAGAAGATGAAGAAATAAGATCTTCCCTTTTCGGTTGACCGCCAAAAATCAGTTGTTGTTTTTTTTACCGATGATTTTTCTCTTTTTTGTTTTTTCTTTTTTAGTTCCATTAACAACATCTATTCGTCATCTTCAGGGTAAACTAAAAAAAATCAATATCGATAATATTGAACTTCATTCAAATACAATTTTAAAAAAAACAACATTGAATAAAGTACAATCGAATCTTGCATCATTATTTCGAACACTATTTATTTTTCTGTTTCCACCTTCTCTCATTTCTTTAACAACAACGAACAATCATGAAAATATCTCATCATCATTTTGTTCAATCGATGATAAGTTTCAACGTAATATGATTATCTCATTTATCGATGGTAAAATTTACAAACATGATGATCAAAAATTTTTCTTCACATATTCATTTTAAATATACAAATCTTATCTTATTGTATGATTTTTTTTTGTAGGTTCACACATAAATATAGTTGAAAGAGTTTCGGATAAACGAATTGAATTTAATGGTTCATATCCAGATGATTATCAGTTTAAAAATAATACATTTTTTACAGAAACAATGATTCAAACTGATTTGGGTATGTTACATTATGGTAGAGTTTATCGATAATTTTAGATTATTAGCATAACATTATATTTTAGTTTTTTATTGATATAATGTTCACATCAGTAATAATAGATTTCCGTTTTTTAACAGTTTTTGTTTTTAAGTAATTTTTTTAAAGGTCACAAAGCAAAAAAAGACTGATAAATCGAGGAAAAGTCTAATGTCAAAACACGTCTTACATCGCGTCACTTTCATTTCTTGTTTTCATGCCGATTTTCTTTCTCGTTTCTTTTTCTGGTTTTCTCTTACTAATTCTCATAAAGATGCATATCTTTATTCAAATTAACGCCTTGTCAACAACACCATCCGTGCAATTATTCGCATTTGTCCTATATTTTTTTTTTCTTATTTGAATCACATCACAGATGAATATTTTTTTTGACTTGAACATACACATCCTCTCATTCATTTTGCCTTCAGGGAATTTTTTTTTGTCTTTTGTTCGTTTTTTTTCTTCTTCAACGAGATATCTCGTTTTTTTAATGATCGTAATGGGCAAAAATGGTGTTGATGAGTGAATTTAAAGGCCGTAAAAAAAGAAAAAAGAAGAAAAGAAGTAGTGAACTATGAATAATATATATGTCGTTAAATGCACTCTAGTAGAAATTAACTAATTATAAACGTTCGTATATAGATTAATAAAAGTGCAGTTTTTCTATCGTTTGAAAGAAAAAAACAAGAAAAATTAATAACAAAAAAGCATTTTTTTAATATCTTCGATAATCTCATATATTTTGCCTTATACATTCTCTAGATTAAAATATAATTCTTTTTGAGTTACATATGTGACGAGTACGTTTTTCTTAATTTGATTTAACAAAAAAGAAAATTTCAAAAATATTTTCCAACTTTGATAAGTATCAAAAAAAAATGAATTTAACAATAAATAATAACGATACGACAACAAAATTATTAAATGGAACTCTATGGTTTCAACAATTTCAACAAAAATTGTTATATTCTCCATTTGGAACATCAAATCAACGAATATCACGTCCACAACAACGACAACAACGTAAAACATTCTCTTATTTACAAATGATTGAAATATGTTTTCTTTATTTTATTCTTATTGAAAATCTAATTATATTTATATTAACATATCAAAAAAAACTATCAAAACAAGCTTTATTTGATACTAAGTAGGAGATATAGTAAAACAAAAACCATTTCCAATAATTTCCCTCTATTCATTTCTCATAGTGATCAACAACAACAACAATCTCAGCAACGTCGTTCAATTATTTTTCCATCAAAATCTTTACTCTATAATTGTTTACATCGTAATTGGATACGGGCATATTCATTTTCCAATATTTGTCTTTCACTTGTCTATTTTATAACTTTAATTGTAAAACACTATCATCCAAATCTTTTACATTATTCCTCTATAACATTTTACTCTTTACCATTAACACTTGTACAACAAATATTAATAAATTTCACTGCATTTCATTTATTTATTATATCCATAAGTATTTTACAATATTTTATTCGTTATTATCGTTTGGCAAAAAAGAAATATTCATTGAATATATACAAAGGAAAAAATCTTTTAATAACAAAACATACAAATGTTGCTTTGATTTTAAGTGGTTCATTAGCTCTTATATTCGGTTATAATTATATATTTTATACACCAAAACATACACACACAATAAAATTACTTCCACTAATCACATTGAATATGATATTATTACCATTAATTGATTTTATTATTTTTGTATTTATTATTGTTTGTTGTATTATTAATCTATATAAATATAATATTTTAATACAACATGATTTATTATTTGATAATCAACTTCAACAACAGCAGTTAACAAATAATGTACGTTCAACAATTGAGAAAACTACATGTATTAAATGTTATACAAGATTTTTACAACAAAATCGAAATATATTTCAAGATACAGATCCATATACAACTTTACATTCAAAATTTTTTGGTACTAACCTAACATCAAGTACACGACCATCGTTAATACCATTAGATGACAAACGAAAATATTCAACAATGTCTTATGAAAGTATTCCAATGATGAATGATATTCATTCACGTTTACGTGCATCTTATCCAGGTCAAATAACTCGAAATTTTCTTTTAAATAAATGTAATCGTTCACAACAAGATTTTTCTAATGAACAACAAAGTGATATAGGACGAAATTCAGCAAATGATTTATTTTTACGGACAACATTAGTCAAAATAAAACGACGGCGTTCATATTGTCATTTATGTTATCGTTTATTATTATTATTTCTTCTTAAATATGTTTTGTGTACATTTCCACAACATGTTATTCAAATGTTATTTCATTTAAGACAATTTTATGAATATATTATTAAAGATGATTCGTCAAAAGATTATAATTCTAATCCTAGTCATATTAATAGAAGCAGTTTAGATAATATTTTATCTGACCATAATGAACTAACATTAACAATATGTCGCTTTTTATTTTTATTTGCTCGTTTTGGTGACAGTTTATTATTGACACGTTTACCAAATTTAATAAAAAAATATTTTCCATGTTGGTGTCATTTCAATTCAAAATTATTATGTAAAAATGAACCTTTTCAACGACCATCACATCAAACATTAATGAAGAATATTGATGTATCAACACATGACCCATTTTCAGGTGATGAGATATCAAATTCGAATGATTTAACAAATCAACAAGAATTACAACAGCAACGACAAAATTTGAGTATGAATGAAGTTTCTCATACGAAAAATCATCATTTTCGTTTACGTTTTCAATTTGTTCCTATATGGTCAAACAAACGACCAAGATTGTTTAAAGGAAATCGCTAAAACAATTTTCTTGTACGTTATTTTCTTCTCGTTTTATGTTCTATGTTGTTGCTACTATTGCTGTTAGTAGATGCTTGCATGGATATATTTCTCTCTATGAAAAATCAAAACATACGTACATTTCTATTTTTTATCAATTAAATTAATATAATTTCCTTGATATTAATTAGTTATTCAAGATGGAATGACTTTTTAAACTATTATTTTTTGGATTTCAACTATATTTCAATTCTGATAAGTTAAATGAATGGTTTTTAATTACAACTTCCTAATCTTTGTATCAAAACAACAGTTAATTATGCTATAACACACTGCTGACTATGTAAATTTCGTTTTAATCGGATTAAATTTTTCTACCAGATGATACTAACAAAATAAGAAAGACTTCCATCTAGTAATCCATCTTGATTTTTAAAACTAATTTATTCAACGATACACTTACAATAATACCGATAATACACTAAATAATCGAATTAGATGGAATGTAATTGTCAAGAAAGAAATTCAATTAGGGCTAGCTTTACGTACGATATTTAATTTAATAACAGACAATATTCATCTTAGTTTGTTTAGAATTGACTATATCATATAATGAAGTTTGAATTAATCTTATTTTCTTTCAAAAGAATAAAAGCCTACAAGAAAGCTAGCTTATTTCATTGTAAATAGCATTATATTCTTTGTTCGAAATTAGACATAATTAACCTGACTTTTAATATGAAAAATACTAGCATTCATTAATTTATTAGAAATTGACATAAATTGAAGATAACAACATTTAAGGTCCGTTAATCTAGATTCGTTTTCAATCTTTTATATTGATAATGGTTTTCTTTCTTTTTGTTTAGTATATCGTCTACAGATTAATCTTTAAAAGTTATGAATTTATAAACAAATAATCAGAATTACATAATGAATGAAATGCATTCATTTAATCAGAGTATGAAAGTAATACTGTTTGATGCATTTTATGTTTGATATTCTGATTAAAAAATGTCATTCTATTTTTCAAAATACAATAAATGAAGTAAAACTAACATACTAATTGAAATCTTAGATGTGAGAAGGTTCATGATTTTCCTACATGAAGGACAATCGGATGTTTTTCAAAGTTCTTTTTTTCAAAAGCACGAAATACATCTGTGGCTTCATTCTTCATTTAGAATAACCGATCACCTCACGCAAACTG